TACAAAATTTTACAGATTGTTTGTGGAAAAAATAAGATACATAATTTATCTAAACAATCAAATAAACAAACAAGATACAGAAAGCAAGAAAGAAAAGACTTGCTAAAATAAAAGGTTAAGAAGTCTTGTCCTCTTCACTGATTAGAGTGGTTGAGGGAGATGGGGTAGTATCTTCTTGGGTAAAGATCTTCAAGGCATGGAAGTTTGGCTTGACTGAGATTACTGAGAAGGAGGAGCTTCTCAGCTATTTATACCCATTAAGTTAGAAGGTAAAAAGCACGTGGCAAGCTTTTAGAGGTGAGCTTGTCGTTTGTTGCAAATATACAGGCTTTAGCCGTATATGAACAGTGTCTTTCACAAAGTAGGTAAGCCAGCTTGGAGACAGTAGAGTGACTCCGTACAGTACTTTACTTTGAGAGGTATGTGTTTGTCCTTTCTGTGTAAAAGGAGAAAACAAAAAAATGATCTTATTCAACAAGATTCATCTGATCAATGACAATGGAATAACGCTGAGGTTTCTTCAATGTTCGCTGAATCTTGAATAGATTTTATACTTGTGTATACAGGCTTGTTACCACTGAAAATCGCATCAGATCACGAATTTGCTTGTCTCTGTCTTCAGCTTTATCTTCAATATCACTGAAGGTTCTATGGTGTGAGTTTTGTCTTCCTGAAGAATATTTGTCTTTGAGAGAATTACAGTACATGTTTAGCGATCTCTGAACAGACTCAGTGATGATCGATGAAGCTGAATATAGATATAGTACACTTCATAAGATAAAAATGATTATCATCAAATCACTGAGAGAGAAGATCAACACACTAGTACTTGTATTGATCAAAAGAGGATTTTTCCTTCCTGTATGATGAGAGTGATGTTGTCCCTAGGCCCATTGATTGAATGGTACAGAGGAAATTTGTGCATGCTCAGATAATTAGTATCTAACATTGATTTATGTTTTCTCTATACATTCTAATACTAAATAAACTTGTGGTTGGACATAACCATGATGACACATTCATGCTCCATGCTCAATCTGAACATCAAGGACAAAGACACATAATTTGTACAATCATAATGATCACAAGATTGATGATTAGTTGAATCACCAATCCTTTTCAGTTGAGTATGATGACTTATTGTTAGATATTGCTCTTTATTTTGTTAAAAAAAATAGATCTAGGATTCAAGAAAAAGTCATGCTTATCACCTTACCAAAAGAAAACATTTTTCTACCCCATAAGGTTATTTTGAAACAAGAGTGTGGGATGTAAACAGAACTAAAGCCAAATGATAAACTTACAAACTGGAAGGTAAACACAAATCTTAAATGATTTTTGACCCTTTAATATTCTTGGCCTCTTTCCAGTATCTCTTACTACGTTTTCATTTTTATTTTATTTCCCTATGTGATCCTTAATTTAAATTTTTTGGAAACAACTGATCCTTTTAAACCGAAACGTCCAATCCTGTTGGATATGTTCCCTTTTCGGTCATATTGAAGCCATTAGAACCACAACCAAAACCAACAATATCAATAACTAGCCATTTTTTATACGGAAACCAATATATACTATATATCAAATATGAACAACTAGATAATAAAAGATATAAAATAAAGTAAAAGTTCATAAAATAACAAAGTATCATAGTCATGTTTTTGATTGGTTTAACCAATTTTATAGCATCTCCATCACATACACCCAAAGTTATTCCATTATGTCTATTGTTTGATGGTTGTATGGTTTTCCTACCTTTTCTTGATACAACCACAAGATTTTGACATTAAAGACAAATTTGATAGACGTTCATGGTTCAATTAAATATATTCGAGGTTTGCGTTTTTCCTATGGGTGTAAAAATTGGCTTAATCAAGCTTTTTGGGAACAAGTTTCTACTAGTTTTTGAATAAAAATTGGCTTTATCTAGCATCAAGGCCGCAGTAGGCTCGAGCTTGCAAGATCCGAGCTCCAATCGGGTTGGGCTTCAGGTTTAGGCTTTTTTGGATGCCTACTTGAATTTAGGGGTGTACGCGAGTTGGGTTAAGTGATTTTTGACATTTTTACAACCCAATTCAAATATGATTAATTGGAAAATCTCAGCCTAACCAAACCCGTTCAAAAGTAAAACCCAACTTGCGAGTAGTGATAGGTTGGACGGGTTGGGTGGTTTACATAAAATGTATTTATTTTTTGAGCTCTAAATTGGACCAATATATATATATATATATATATATATATAGAGAGAGAGAGAGAGAGAGAGAGAGAGAGAGAGATAAAGAGTTTTTCAAATACAACATGTTTCATTCGTACAACTGTACAACCCAATCTGAACCGTCCCTCTACTCTAATAAATATCTTTAGTCCCAAATTTATTGATTTATTTTTTTGATATAAAGTGGTGATCATCATTGATGAACTATAATTCTCTTGCATAAATATTCAAATCATAATAAATAAACTCTTATTATTTTCATAATCATTTCAATTGATTGGATTGTATGGATGAGATAGTTTGCATAATAAATTATCCATCTTTCTCTCTCTCTCTCTCTCTCTCTCTATATATATATATATAGGGAAGATCAAATGTTAACCATAATTTTTGTGTTAACTTTAAAAACCCTCTCAACCAATCAAATTCCATTATTCTTATAAGTTTTTGTCTTGTTCATTTTACCCTTACAAGGGTATTTTAGTAAATTGAATTCATTTGTAACACCCAAACAATTAATTGGGAGTTACAAACAATCAGATCACAAAAAATATGCGTTCATATTATTAAAAAAATTATATTGATCTTCCATTTTCTTTCTTGTATGAATTCCTAAATCGCATAAGAAACACGGTAGTAACGATTTTCGGTATTGATCAATTTGAACACAAATGAACAACCGTGAACACAATTTGAACACAAATGAACAACCGTTAACAGATTAACACAAATTAACAGATGCTACTTTAATTTTGTGGGACGTCTATGTATGTGAATATATCGGCCAAAAATTGCACATATCGTATTCATTTATGTTCATATCGTGTTCACAGTTCATTTGTATTCAAATTGTGTTCACGGTTGTTCATTTTTGTTCAAATTGTGTTCACGGTTTATTTGTGTTCAAATTGATCAATACCGAAAATTGTTACTACCGTGTTTTTTATCCGATTTAGGAATTCATACAACAATGAACATGTAAGATCAATAGTAAAAAAAATAATAATAATATGAATGCATATTTTTTGGGATTTGATTGTTTGTAACTCCCCAAACAATTGGAAGATCAATAGTAAAAAAAAATAATAATAATATGAATGCATATTTTTTGGGATTTGATTGTTTGTAACTCCCCATTAATTGTTTGGGGGTTACAAATGAATTCAATTTACTAGAATACCCTTGATAAGTGTATTTTTTCTTCCCAAAATGCCCCTTTCATCATTGTTCACTAGCCCTCATTAAAATTCAAACTTTAAAATTTAATTTTTTTTTGATTAATCTTAACCGTTGATTATAGATTTGGATAGCCAAGATCAGTTAATAAGATTAAACACAAAAATGATGGTTAGCATTTGATCTTAGCTCTATATATATTTAATTTTATCTAAATAATATATATTAGCGGCTGATTGGATTGAGTTAGTCTAATCCAATTTCAACCCTCCTAATTATCTGTTTGACGGTTTAAATGTTTGACGGGTTGAGTTAGATGAGTTTTACAAGTTAACGGTTTTTGTACACCCCTAGTTGAATTAACCAAGTTGGGTCGTATCTGAAAGACAATTTCTTCAAGAGAAAATCACCAAAATAATCAAAATATACCCGATATATTAACGAAATAACCATTTTTCACGAAATTCCCAAAACGATCATATGGATCTCCCCTCGGGGGCGATCCATGACCATGGGGGCGATCCCCTTCTTTTTGAACAAAAAAATACAAAAAATAATTTAAAAAATAATTTTTTGGTGGGTTCCACATGCATCACTTTATTTTTATTTATTTTTTAATATCGATTAAAGGGTGTATTTAATAAATTTGAGACGATATTTAAACAGTTTTTTTTAAAACTTTTTAGGACCAAATGTCATGATTTTAGTATATAAAATAAAACATTTTTACTCTCACAACTCGTAAACATAATCACCGTGACAAACCTTATAAAAATATGATTGTACGTGAAGATTTCTAATTTTACCAAAAAAATTTAAACGCATAAACTACGCAACGAATATTGTTATTGTTTTTCTTATAAGAAATGTTGATATTCTATAATAATTGCGGATATGAAAAAAATTGTTTGTATCTAATTTGGTGGACAAAAATCATATTTTTTATGTTGAATCTTATTTACGTCCCCCAAATCAGATAAAAATAATTTTTGCGTATCCACAATTATCATGGTTTTATTTTTAAACCTATAACCATGAAATTTGGTCCTAAAAAGGTAAAAAAAAACAGTTTTAATATCGTCTCTTTCTTATTAAAAACACCTCGAAAAAAAAAGAAAAAAATATAAAATACGACGGATTGCCCTGGGGGCGATTAGGTGACGTGGATCTCCCCCGGGTAGATCCACACACGTGGGACCCACCAAAAATGATTTTTTAAATTGTTTTTTGTACTTGTTTGGTCAAAAAGAAGGGGATCGCCCCCATGGTCATGGATCGCCCATGGGGGAGATCCATGTGGTTGTTTTAGCAATTTCGTGAAAATATGGTTATTTCGTTAATATATCGGATATATTTTGGTTATTTTGGTAATTTTCCTTTTTTCAAAGTGACGATAAATTTTCTAAATGGTCTTGTTGTAAGTTGGGTCTTTTCAAGAAATACAATATAGTAGAGTGTCAGATGTTTAAAAACAAAAAAAATGTAAGGACAAAAAATGTAAACGAAGTAAAATGTAGGGGGCAGAAATTACTGAACATTGATTTTCTTAAAGATTCGAAGCGTAACTCACGTAAATACATATTAAAAGGCACCAAAGAAACACAGCATCCTCGGCTTTTGCCCCGGCAAACACAAATTGCCTCTCTTTCTCTCTCTCCTCCTCACTCAAATCTCATGCTTATGTTCTTAACCAGAACAAAGATTCTGAAATTTATTAGATTATAAAGAAAATTTCACAGATTTTAGATATTTTATTCAAACACAATTGTATTTAGTAAAACATAAAATAGCAAGATTTGAGAATGAGGGATTGGGTTTTGATTTTAGCGATTGGATTTGGTGTTTTTGGAAACTGGGTTTGTGGATATGAAGCAGAGTTCCATTTCAATACAACTGAAGTTGTTGCATTTTTGGAAGAATCTTCTGCTTCTGCTGCTAATCCTCTAATTGTTGGTCTCACTCTTATTCCAGGAGCTGCTGCTAAAGGCGCAGGTATTCTTTAACCTCTTGTGGTTTTTGAGCTCCTTTTATATGTGCAGTGCATTATGAGTGTTCTTTAAAAAGGAAATCTGCAAGATTTGATGTGCATTTTGGGTTTGTTTGGAAATGGAATCTGCAAGATTTAATCGAATTTGATGTTGGTTCTTGTAGCTGCTGATTTTGGGGGTCTTCTTTTCTGTCTTGAATTCCGGAACAGTCTTAAGAGTCCACCTCCTTTTCTTCTGCTATTAGTAGTTTTAGGATTAGTTGACTGGTTTTTGGATTTAATATATCTAATTTTTTGTGTCATACATTTTGCTTGATTTTGCTTCAAGATTTTACATTTTGTTCCTAAAATAGTTTTCTTCTTTTCAGTATATATGTTTTTTAATTTTCCAACTCCAAAATGGTTTTATTTCTAAAAATGTTGGTATTTTTATCATGGATCTTGGTATTCAAAGTTCCTTTCATCCTTCTCAACCTAGTCTTTTTGTGAAAGCAATTTAGAATTTGGGAAGGGACTATGTTTTAACGTTTATATATTGCCCTTTTGCCTTTCCTAATCTCTTATCATGGATCATGAGATTCATAAACACACACACACACACACACACATATATATATATATATATATATATATATGGGAATAATCACAAGGCTATAATTTGATTAATCGTATATTTGTGTTAATCAATACCTTAAAGCCTAGCCTTAGATGAAATGAGGTGAAATTACACATGATGCACTTGTTCTTATGGTTTGTAATTCTTTGTGGTTCTCACATGATTGGCCCCATATATACATATAGGCGAAGGATTGTGTGAGAAAGAGAGTTAAGGTGAGAAGCGTAAGAAGGGATCTGGACCCTTGATCACCTTTAATCTCAAACCCACCCATGGATCACGCATGATACGGGGATTGTTTGGTGCATCTCATCCTAATGTGCATCCAAGGATGAAGATCCTTTCTTACACTTCTCATGTTAACTCTCCGTCTCACCGGAACCCAACCCCATATACATATATATATATATATATATATATATTTATATATATTGTGGTTGTCACATGATAAGCCATATATATGATTAATCGGTAAATGGAAAATGTTCAATACTCGGTTTCTTAATGTGGGTTTGGGTTTCCATAGTGTGCTTGGATGGAACATTACCCGGGTATCATTTACACCGTGGATTCGAGTCGGGTGCAAACAGCTGGCTCATTCAATTGGAGGTTTGTGACAGCTAAATGGATAATGACATTTTGTATCTAATTATGTGTTATACTTACTTCCACAATTTAAACATCTTTATTGATGTGTTAGCCTTCATTGTTCTTTACGTGCTGTCTTTAATATCTATCCACTTATAATTATTGACACTAATAATAACTGGTCTCTATCTCTGAAAAAGTTTGTTACGGCTGTATTTATTCAGTTCTTCTAACTGGTCAGCATATCGCTCCCGAAACACAAATAACAGATGGAAAAAGGAATCTTCATGCTGTCTTCTTCTTTCATTCACTACAACAAAATTGGTGTTTTAGAACGCCCGTTTGTCATTACTTAATGGGACTTTAAGTCTATAGGATCAAATTCAAGAACTATGTATCCTATCTAAAAGCGTTACAGTAAGTTGATAGGATGAATTTAGGTGACCTAACAAGTTCTATTGATGAAGTTGGAAAATCTAATAGGGCACAAAAGGTACATCGTTCTTTAACCTTATTATACGACACTTTTTGAACTAGTAAATCTTATTACCAACGGTAAGTAAGGTGTGACTACATCACTTTATATTCCATGATATATTCTTGAAGATTTTTTCCAATCAATTTCCATGATATGCCAAATGGATCAAAAGTAACTTTTCGATTGTTAAGATTTGTTGTGGTCGTTATAATTTTTCTACTACTCAGTAATCTGAATCAAATTTCGATTTGGATAGAAATTATGAGGTTTCAGAACCAAAGATATCTAAAGCTATCTACTTTAATATAACAGGGTGGGGGATGGTGCAACACCATTAGATCTTGCGTTTACCGAAAAACGACAAGGCGTGGATCATCAAATTTTTTTGAAAAACAATTGGCCTTCACAGGAATTCTGAGCAATAAGGCTGAAGAAAATCCAGGTTTTTCTCTCTAACCATTTATTTACCGAATTTAGCTTCAACTTTTACTATTTATTCTTCTCAAATCAACTTTGAGTTTTATGATCAGATTTTTTCAACTGGAATCGAGTAAAGGTTCGTTATTGTGATGGGGCCTCTTTTGCTGGGGATACAGAAGATAAGGTGGGTAGCAGTCTCTCAATGGCTCTTCTTCACTATTGTTATTGTTTCAAAAGTTTCCTATTTGTTTGTTCATGTAGTTAGTGGATCGAGTAATGATTGTTGTGTTTCTATATATGTATATATGTATCTGTATATGGGTGTGTGTATTGGGATTAATATGTTAAGATCACTTATCTTCATCTCACACACTTTTCACAAGCCATATGTCTTCACGAAAACAACTGCTCTACACTAGGTAGAAGCCATGTCCGCATACATCTTAATCCCTAGACCCCACCTCCTAGTGGGATATACTGAGCTCGGTTGGTTTATATCTGATGTTCAACTAATGGTAACAGGCAAATAACCTACAATTTAGAGGGCAAAAAATATGGTTGGCAGCAATGGAAGACTTGATGTCAAAAGGGATGCGCAATGCTGACCAGGTATTCCGATCAATCAATCAATCATTCAATTATTTTTCAGAAAAAGATTCGTTTGCAATCATATATTCATTGGATTTCAGGCGCTTCTTTCTGGGTGCTCGGCCGGTGGTCTGGCATCTATTTTACACTGTGACGAGTTCCATTCGTTGTTCCCTAGAAGCACTAAAGTAAAGTGTCTGGCTGATGCTGGAATGTTCATGGATGCGTAAGATTGATTATATCTAGTTTTTGTTGTTGATCGTATCTATTCTCCTGTACTTGCTGCTATTCTTATTGTTGTTGCTTACTCATTTCAGGTTTCTCAAAATTTAGCACATCTGTCTCTCTTACTATATTTATTGCTATCTTTTACTCATATCTAGCTTTTCAAATTTTAGCATATCTGTATTTTCCATTTCACACATGCTTTTCACTAGCCACGGGTATTCACGGTAACAACCACTCTGCCCTTTCGGGTAGAGGTCAGATCTGCATACGTCTTACCCCCTCCCTCCGGATGGGATATATTGTGCTAATTTGGTTTGGTTTCATTTCTCGGCGTTTCAAGTGCATAAATTTTTTTTATCTGCAGCTTAATGTTGTTATGTTGTAAAAATTTAGGACTGATGTATCCGGCGGACATACACTAAGGGACATGTATGAAGGTGTTGTTACATTGCAGGTATTTGATTTCAAATTGCCATTTTTTTTACTCTTTCTGAAAGGGCGTCTTAGGCTATGCTTGGATTAATCCCAGCAAATTGTGACTGCAAGAAATCGGCCCTGATAAACTCAGTGGCCACGATTGTTGTGTATACCTGGAATAGAACCACTGGACAAATTAGATATTCCACCACATCCCCAGGGAGGGCCTCAACCACTACGCCACAACCCTTTATGGTTGATATTTTCTGTAGTAGGTCGTTCCCATGTTTGACTATGTCAGTGCAATGTGGGACTTCCTATGTCACTGCAAATATCTTTCTCGGCATTTTTCTATTCAAAATTCCATAGATTATTTCAAAATTTCAATAAAGATTAGGGTTCAATTTGCTATAATTTAGGGATTAGGGCAAACTAACTGATAACTAGTCATTAGCTGAAAAGCTAGTTGCTTGCTGAATAGCTAGCTGTTGTGAGATATGTTAGCTGAAATGCTAGCTATTGGCTAATAAGCTAACTGTTGGCAGTATACCACTCACTGGTAAATAGCACAAGTTAGTCAGACTGAGGGCGGAAAAAGAAGTGTTAGCAGAAAAGCTAGTTGATGGCTAATAAGTTAGCTCATAAACTAGTTATGTTTGGTAAAAAACTAACCGATAACTTAGATGATAATACAAACCGTTCAAAGGAAAATATAAGGGGCATTTATGTAAAATATAAAGGTATAAATGAAAATAAAAACCCAATAAGCTAGCTGAAGTAGCTTTTCAAAAACCCAACTTATAAGCTACCTTATGGCATATTAAACGGGCTTTTCCAATAACCTCAAAAAATAAGCTAGCTTTTGAAATCTAGCAGATAGTATGAAGAGTTTCATGTTTAGTTGCTAATGAAGTGTTTACCAATTAACACCTACCTGAAATATCGTTGTGTAATCTCTCGACAGGGGGTTGCTAAAAACTTATCACCGACTTGCACCAGCCAAAACAACCCGACTTCAGTAAGTACTCGCCTCCAATTCCAGTCGGGTTTCTGATTGATATCGGTGCTTGTTTTTCATCCAACAATCATTTTGGTTTCAGTGTTTCTTCCCTCAGAACATAGTTTCACATATCAAAACCCCTATGTTCATCCTCAATGCAGCCTATGATTCTTGGCAGGTAAATATTTTCATATCAAGTATTTTCTTTTAAATATTTATATACGGCAAATACTCACACACCCTCCTCATCTACCCTTGACCCTCCGGGAGGCTGGGATTACTGGCGGATGTACAACCAAGACTTGGGGCTCAATTGACCTCCATGAGTTTTCATGAAATCATTTTCTTTATATTTTCAAAATTTATTCTTTCCATAAATTTATAAATTTTAAATTCGGACCCCCATCACCAAAATTCCTGGATCCACCACTGCTGGTAACGTGGGTACTGCTGGGCCAATGACCCTTGGGCTTAATTGGAAGTTTGTTATCTTCAAAGGGCAAGTAACCAATATCATGTGTAATCTCTGTTTTAGGTCGTCTCGAGTTTAACTGCAGCATCGGCTGATCCTCATGGTGCTTGGAAGGCATGCCAGAAGAACCCCGGAAACTGTTCACCAGCACAGATGAATTTCTTTCAAGGTATCATGCCATTCTTGCCATTATTGCGAACTAGAATGTGATCGGTTAATTAATGCATCTATGCCATCGATTCTTTGACCAGAATTCAGAAACCAGATGCTGGATGCACTTAAGGGATTCTCCATGTCCAAAGAAAATGGGTTGTTTGTAAATTCTTGTTTTGCTCATTGCCAAACAGAGAGGCAAGACACATGGTTTGCAGATGATTCGCCAGTTATTAACAACAAAGTATGTCTATACCCTTTACATTCACTTTGCGTTTGCTCTTGCGGGAATATGCTGAACTCCATTTTAGATTACTCTTGTGTTTTCATGACGCCAAAAATGTCTAAGGGGCCGTTTACCTAAATGCTTACCCGGTAAGAGCTTACCATTGGGAGTCAATACCGTAATTTATTCTACCGGATAAGATTGTAGTACATCAAAATGGTATCGTATGCAACAATTTACCCGATAAGCGCTTACCCGGGTAAGAGTCGTCACCATCACTTACCGAGTAAGACTCTTCATCTTTATCATTTCTCTTACCGGGTAAGATTTTTGACAATTGTGTGTTCTATGTAAAAGTGCTGCAATAAGTTTATAGGATGCTTTTAGACATCTTAACAAGTTTATTAGGACACTTTTAAAAAAAAGTGTTCTATTAGCTTTTTACAGCGAAGTCTCCTCTAAACAAATCTTTTCTATAGAACACTTGTATTTATACAACACTTTTTCAAATAATGTCATATAAAACAATTAATAGGACACTTTATTTCAATAGAGTCATAAAATACTTGTTAAGATGGCTGAAAGCGCCTATAAACTTGTTGCAACACTTTTACATATGATGCATAATTGTTGGTACTATAATCTGAAGTCCAAATGTCTATTAGGATACTTACACATTTTTAGCGTCCTATAAACCAAATTTTGATGTAGTGACTTTCCAAAAGATCCCTTTGAGGATAGAAAGGAGATTCCAAAATAACATATATGGAGAAATGGTCATGCCTACTCCAACAGAGGGTAGACGGGTACAAAGGGTGCGTTTGGTACGCAGACAGGACGGGACAGGACGGGACAGAACAGGACAGGACAGCTGTTCAGCGTTTGGTAAGACATGATAGGACTGGACAGAACTGGTTAAAATGACCAATTTAACCCCAGTGAGTCAATCCTAGAATTCTAACCACCATGATCAAATTAATCTACCATACTTCTAAACCTACTTGAGAAGACGACATCAGATTCTAAACCCGAGTGTAAGCAACTTYCATTCTTCAAATMYCAAATTTCTCATGAAATTTAACTAGATTTAATTTATGGAATTGGGGTTTTTGTTCATCTGTTTTTGATGTTTGGTTATGGATTCAGTCGATTAAACAGCCTATTCAAGCAAAAAAAACCCTAAATCGATTCAAACATAGCAACCCCAAATAGCGATTCAGATATAACAAACCCTAAATCGTTCCAAACATAGCAAACAGAGGGCAATCGTGTACCTGATGAAGGAGAAGGTAGGGTGCGATGGAAAGGAACTCATCGAGATAGGGCAATAAAGCAAACAGACGATGGAAAGGAACTCGTCGAGATGAAATCAGGCGGACCGTCGGACTGCCGTCGCCGTCACCGGTCGCCGGTCGAGTAGAAACAGCAGTCGATACTGTCGAGTAGAGGAGAAACAGCCGATGGAAAGGAACTCGTCGAGTAGAAACAGCCTGAGAGTATGGAGAAAGGAGACGGTGGAAGCGATGGAGGCAACGCTGTGAAGGGGAAGAAGGGACAATATGCGTATGAAGTTTTTGAGGGTAAAGTGGTAAAAAATTTCTTGTTCTACTTAGTTCCAGGGGTAAAGGGTGGACTACCGTGTCCCACCCTTGTTCTAGTTAGTTCTAGTTAGTCCCAGATAAAGCCACACCAAACATAGGACAATTGTGTTCTGTCCTGTCCTGTCCCACGTACTAAACACACACAAAGTGATGAGAGGGAGCTAGAATGTCACTAATTGTGCAGTGTCTAGACCCTAGAGTGGTAGTAGACCCTGGCTTTGATACCATGTGAGAATATGTAGAACCGTGTTAGATTATTCTTCAAAAGAGCCATTGACAAGAGGACTGCTCCAACATATATGGATGATAAATGATCCACGTCTAGTCAATGTGGGACTTCAACGGCCATGTACTTGATATTTAAAAAACCGGACCATTTCTTGACCCAGAATTGTTTCCGGATAGGTCCAAGACCATGGTTAGACCAGCTCATTTTCTTCATGGGTGGCGGTCTAACCACTCTCACCGGACGGTCCACTACGGTCTTCTTATAAATGTTGCCTCATGCTTGACAATTATCTTTTCAACTTTAAAACATGCATAGTTGAGGGTTTGGATCTTGATATGATGTTAATTATGCCAAATGATGCAGGCGATAGCATTGGCTGTTGGAGACTGGTTTTTTGATCGATCGAGCGTGAAAGAAACGGACTGCCCATATCCATGTGACAAGAGTTGTCACAATCTGCTATTCAGATCATAAGGCTGGATATATAGTTAAGAAACATCTTCATTGGTTATTTGTTGAACATTTATGGATACATGAGAATGAAGGACAAATTCATATATGAATAAACTGCTTGTGGCTGCACTCCCTACATTCTGGCAAAGAAGTGGGGGTTATTATCCACATAATTGTGTTGTAACAGTAATGCAAAGTATATTATTGATTGTGATTTTCGTACCATTTTTTTAATTTAAATTATGTACCTGAAAACGTTGTTAATATCTATACTACCTTATAAATTAGATCTTATAAAAGTCTCAAAAACATTTTTAATGCATAAAGTACTACTTATTTATGCATGAAGTCTTAAATACAAATTCTAATGCATAGAATACTTCTTATTAATGCATAAATTCTTAAATCCAAGTCTCTTAACCTTCATGTACACAACCCATTATATTCCCAAGACGCTCTCATGAGACTTGCCCTCAAAAATGACGATTCAGGCTCATCGATTTTTGGACTGACGATTCCTCTTCTCAAGTCACTCTCATCGCTTACTCAAAACGACAATTCCTCATCTCAGATGGTTCATCACTTCATCTCTCTCTCTATCCATTGTTCAGGCTTTAATCTCAGTCCATTACTCTCCAGATAATCAATTGGTTCCATCGAATTCACTTTGTTTCCATCGATTTACAGTCTCTCATCTAGGTAATCACTCTCAATCGATTTTGGTTCACTCTTTGTTACCCTCTTTCGCAGACTTCTTTCTATTGCACCCTCCTTCCATTCCAATTTCTGTCCACGTAATTAGGGTTTGATTTCTCACTTTTTGTTCTTGAACTTAAATGCAATTGAACTTTGATTTCTCACTTTTAACTCTTTAACCATTTTGGGACTCGTAATCAAATTTTTTGTTAAACTAGAATTGTTGTTAATCTATGTTGTATCATAGGTTTGTTTTTTTATTGCAACCGATTTTTTGTATAGCAATTGGTACCACACTTTCATCTCAGTCTTTGCGATTTGTTTCAGGTTTCATTGTTGCAATTGAGTACCATGCTTTCATCTCTTTGTTATTAGCTATTTGTTTTAGTAACAATTCGGTGATTCCCGCTCCCATTCACGTTTATTTTCCAATCGATATTTGGTTTCCTCACATCATTTCTTATTTTTGTTTTCGACTGTAGTCGTTTTCTATTTGCTTCTATATTTCAATCTAAGTGGTACCACATGTTTGTTTTTTGATTGCAATAAGTTTTTTGGTTGTTATATTGATATAGATCTCATTGTTGCAGGGGTTCATCAGTTGAAAGACTTAAGACTCAAATCTTGATACTAATTTATGTCCAAAGACGGTATTCTGTGTAACTAAAAATTTCATTCTCACTGTGATTAAATTTTTTCTTTTTATTTGCTTGATTTTCATGATCTTAGCTTTGTGTTTTATAACTTCATTTTGATAAGGCTAGATTCATAGTTGAGACATTGGAAGATGAGAATATTACCACTGTGTCCGTAGTATAATGTGTGCAAATGCTTGTTTTATCTACCTTAAACTACAAATCTTGTTGGTCTTTACCGTAGATGTCCTACATTACTGGGTGAACATTCGAGGAATGACATTGATTGTTTGTATGTTTGAACAGTTGAACTTGAAATTTAAGGTGATCAATTTGTGAAACTTAGCTTATGCAAACAGAGGTTGCTCATACTTGTACCATTAAGGGGTTCGTCTTTCTCTCGTTCTAATGTATTTTGTCATCCATTGATTCCCTAGGCCTTTTAATGCTATATTTAATAGGTTTATGGTTAAAACTACCAGAGTTATACACACATACGTAGGGTCATTGTTATTTTTAGTAAACAGTTCAAAGACTGGAAAGTAAGAATCTCCCAAATCCAAATGTTCCTTTATTTTCTTCAATTTTTGCTTTAGTTTCTTTTGAATACTGATGGTTTGAATGGTGCATCGGACCAAATTGGTATCAGGTGAGATGGTTTTTAATGACAATGGGTCTAAATAGTATTAATCTCTTTGCTATTTGTTTCAGGTTTTATAGTTGGAACTAACCATCAACATTTTTTATCTTTGCTATTTGCTATTTGTTTCAGTTGCAATATGGTGATTCCCATTCCTATTCAGGTTTTTCTTCCCATTGAAGTAAATGATATTGTTGAATTTAGTAGGTTATAAGTAAGAATTGGCATAAATCACAGATACCACCATGTTGAGAAGAAATTTTTTTAATCCATCGGCAAAGTGTTGGATACAAGCTAGAACAATTTATCTTTGATGCATTTCCTTGTGCGCCTTCAGGCTTTAACAACACTTTTTGAGGTCATCCCCTTATTCTCGAAAAATTGTGTTTTAGCAAACTGGAAGGAAAAGTGTCACTTTTCCCTGTTTGTTTTTTACATAGGTATTGCGTGAAGAAGAATTTTCCCCTATAAAAATGTGAATGATCCAACTTGGACACTCAAAACAGTGGTTGACTTATGGTTCTAAGTCTACATACTAGTCGAGTGGTTGCAGCAAACGACTTCTTAACACATTCAGTGCCTTTTATGTTCAACTGGTAATAAACCTTTTACAACCTGGCATTCAATATGCTTAATCTCTTCTGTTATAGTAATTTATTTGTTTTTCAAGCAGATTTGAGGTCTTACTTCTTGTTTCATATGCTGGAGAAAATCTTGTAGTGATTTGTTGTAGTAGTACGTTTCATCCACCTTGTGAAATAAGGTTCCAACTTTTGTTTTCATTTTTTGTTTCTTTATACATGAGAATTTGTATGAATTGATAGCAGTTTTTCTACTAATATTGTGAATTGTTTGGCTTAATTTTGTTTTTATGAATCATTTTCCATTTTATTTTCTCATATAATAATCTTCCAACCTCTATCTGTCGTTGTAGTAAACCCCCCCCCCCCCCCCCAATAAGAAGAATTATTAACCATGATGGTGACAATCCACCATTTTGGTTATTGTTTTTAATCAAAATTTACTTCCATAAAAGAACCACAATGAGCATTTGATAACCTTTCTTTAATAGAATACAAATTTTAGTTGGAAGTGCTATCTATTAAAAAGATTTTTGAGCAGGCGCTTCAAACCTGCACTTATCCTGGAGTCTATTTTCTATTCAGTTTGTAAAAAAATTTATATCCATCCTTTTCCGTATGATTATCAATAGAACTCAGAAAAAAAAACGATTTAGAACTTAGACGAATTCCAGTTTCCTTTTAGTTACAACAAACTTTATGCATTGGTGTTTTGATGAAATTCAAGTGTCCTTGTATCACATCTAGATGAATTATGCATCCCGCAACATTGCGCGAGCATAAAACTAGTATTCTTACAACTATATTAGTTAGAGACAAGTTTCTTGAGAAACCCAAAACTTAATACGAACCTGGGAACCATCCACAATGCGTCATATGTTTCTCTTCAGGATGAATATTAATCGTGAACGACACCTATTGATTGGGAACCTGGGAACCACCCACATTGTGCTACATGTTTTTTTTTTCCAGGATGAATATTTATCATGAACAATGCATTCATGATGAATATGAAAGTGTTATTCATTATGAATCATACATTCATGATGAATGTAGAAGTGTTTTTCGTCATCCATTACACATTCATGATGAATATATTAGAATGTTTGTGATAAATAACAAGTCAACATTACTAATGAATATCGCACGTATTGTGCTGTGCACTGTCTTTCGATTCCTAATCAACTTTAGATTCCTAACCGTAACATGCCCCATATTAGTTATATATTGTTTTTATCCAATCCTATTCACTAAAGGGTTGTTTTATTTTATCCAAAATATCTGATAAAGCACTTTATGTAAATGAGTACAACATATATTAATTACTTGATATAAATTATAATCTTTTAAGGTACTTTAACTTGTAAACGTTCGTTTTGAATGTCACCGGTTCAAGTACCCTTTTAAGGCTACTAGCTCTTAATTTTAGTCTTCGATAGGATTAATCATGATGCATGCTAGGTAGTCCAGATTCGAATGAATCAAAGTATAAATCATTGAATACAATAATTTTTGGGGTGCTAAAATGAATGAATCAAAAAGTTCAAAGAGAGTAAGCTTAGCCATCACTACAACTAAAATCTAGAATATTTAAATTATACATAGTATAACTGAAAAAAGAAAACATATCAATATTGATATTGATATAAGATAAATAGAATACAAAATCCCTTTTTATATGATTTGTCTAAGAGTAACTCTAATTTTGTTCTTTTAGGTTTATTTTAAAAAGTTTGAAAGTGGGATCCGAACTTTGATAAGTTTAGAAAACATCTTTTTGATTTTCATCTTACTTTAAAAGTAGTCCCTCGTTACTAACTCTGCCTGTTTTTTCTATTAGAAGAAGGGCATTTTCGTCTATTTCATCTTTTTTGTCTTTTTCACTGCCTTTTGTTTTTTTTTTGTAACCAACCTCAAACTATACGGAATAACTCTATAATTAGCTTATATATACATGCACGCACACACCCCACACACACACACACACATATATATATATATATACACACACACACACATACATATACACACATATAGGTGCATGTTCAAATGAGAAAGCGGTCTGTTTGCGATAAAGCAAAAATGAATGTGAGACACACAATCCATCAATTAAAAAATGAAAAATAATTTTAGAAAATAGGATAATTATCATTTTGAATTATGATTTTTTGTGTTTTGAACTGTTTTTAAAAGATCAAGTATAAACGTTAATCATTTGAATTGTTTGAGATGACATTTATGTTAGAAAGAGAGAACAAGGAACTAAGAGAGAAAGTTTATGATTTGGAGAAAAGACTGAAAAAAGAACAAGAAAAGTATGTAGAGGTCTTTTATGAAAATCATTCAAATTTAGTTTGGATTAAGGAGATGAAACATGATATGAATAAAATTGAAGAAAAAAAGAAGTTTCTACAAGACGAGATAGATGAACTTCTTGGTAAAAATGTTTATCTTAGTGAAAAACAAAAGAGAAACTTTGATCTGTTAAGGGACAATTCTAGATTAACATCTAGAGTTTATGAAGTTGAGAAAATTTTAGAATCTGAATGAAAAGAATTTGAGGAAGAAAAGAAAAGGATATCTGCTTAAAAATAAAAAGTTACTGGATTCTGAAAGAAATGAACTTGAAAAAGAGAAGGATAAGTTCACAGAGGCTGAAACGAAGTTTGATGTTGAAAGGAAGATTTTTGAAAGCAGACTAAA